GCTATCTATGGCTTGACTCTTCTCGGTGGTTATGAGATTGGCCCACTTCTGTCTGCTGGGATCATACAGGGCCTGGGAATGAACTGGTGAGTTTGACTAAAAGGCCATTTGGTGTATCTTGTTCGTGACACACGCTGACTTGTCTACTTTTTCAGGGCTTTCTACGTTATAGCTTTTGCATTGTTCGCCACTTTCATCGCGATGATATTCTTCATGCCTGAAACTGCATACTATGGAGATCGTCCTGATTTGCACGCACTTCCTGCGAATATCTCGTTAAATCAGAGTGCTACTACTCCAGAAAAACTGCAAGAGAATGCCATTAGTTCGCCGCGATCAGAAACCAAGGCTACCCAAAATTCGAAAGCGGCAAGTGAGAGCGTTGAATCTGAGTCGGCAGTGGCAGAGGTGATTCCGAAATCATATATTCAAAACCTCAAGGTTTGGAGCAAAGATACAGTCAACCCTGATGTTCGACTCAAAGCGGCATTTCTAAGACCCTTAGTCTTATTTGCATAGTATGTTCACTTCTCGACTTCCCTTTCTTAGCAAAGAGTTCTAACACAATGTGCAGTCCAACCGTTTTCTGGGCATGTATGGCTTTTGGCATGGCATTGAGTGAGTAGACCAGACGAGCCTACAACGTCAGAGATTGCTAACATTTGACAGCATGGAACATTGTTCTGTCTTTGACTGTGGCCCAGCTCTTTGCTCCCCCGTACGTTTTCGACTAGTTCTATTGATACGCCAGCAAGCGCTAATCCTCAACTTTAGTCCCTACTCTTTCGACTCTGCCGCTCAAGGTTTGGTTTTTCTATCACCATTTATTGGCAGGTATGGAAGTTAACCCTTTTAATCTCAGTGATTTAACTAACAACTATTTGCTAGTCTGATTGGAACCTATCTCTGCGGTCCATTAGGTGATCGCATCGCACTTTATTACACTGCAAAGAACAATGGTGTGCGTGAACCAGAGATGCGTCTGCCCATCGCCGGTCTTGCCGCAATAACCACGGTCGTGGGTGTTTGCATAGCTGCTCCTTGTTATCACTATCAAACGCACTGGATCGGTCCGATTTTTGGCTTCGGAGTGCTCTCCATTGGCGTGCAGATGGGTTGCAATCTAGCCATGACATATGCACTAGACTGCCATCCAGAGCTCTCTGGCGAACTAATGATTACAGTTTCCGTCCTTAAGTCAGTTCTTGCCTGGGCCTGGACCTGGTTTATCAATGACTGGATCGTGTTGAATGGCATGATGATGGTGTACTTTCTAGGTAAGAGATGTCACTAAATCTAAACGACCATGATCCTAAAGACCGTTTCGCTGATAAATTGCTAGTGGCACTGATCAACACGGCCGTATATGCTACGACCATTCTGTTCTACTATAAAGGAAAGAGTTATAGAATTTGGATTCAGGAGAAGAACCTCTTCGGTCGAGCTGGATTGGCTTAGATCGTGTCGCTGTTTAATTCTATAGCGAAAGTCTTCGGATAGAGTCGCCTAAACTGATACGTTGATATTCTAGAATTTTAGTTTTACTGGTCCAGTACTATTGTACAACCTGATAACATGAAGTCCTTATTTTCTTGCATGAGGTGTATCATCACCAGTCTCCTGATGACTTGCAATGAACGTCTGTAATCGTGTGCTAATGTTTACCTTACGAGTGTCCAACCTCCAGATAAGATAAGACTTAATTTTACAGCCAAGGCTACGCACGATTCGAAGCAAAGCTCATCCCTCAGTGACATATGTGCTGACTTGAGTATGGGTAATAGGAAGACCTCGACTGAAATATTCGTGTTATGATTAGATACCCTACTCAGGTACTCAGCGACGTACGCATGGGACGGCATGTGATGGATGACAAACCTAGGCACTTGGGTATCCCTCTTCAGTGAAGACCGCGTACCTTGCACAGCAATGTCGCACTAATGATAACACGCATCTACCACGAAACCACTATCGGGCGACTCGCCCGATAAGTTGGGCGATGCTGAAGCTAAAAGAGTGTTCCACAATCTTAGTCGGTTGTCTGAATCTACTCTAGGCAGGATAAGTTATCAGATTGCACGCTAGGCCACGACATTCATGGATATTACACATTACTACGCCGAGCATTTCAGCTCGCTCAAATGTGCAACAACTCTGCCTTGTCACAGTCATGCAAAACTGGTCGTCTTCCTACAATGTCAGCCTTTGAGAAGCTTTTACAAGAAGCCGTCCAGAATGGCACCATCCCCGGTGCTGTTGTATTTGCAAATGACAAAAGTGGTAAGCTTCTCCTCACATCATTTCACGACAACGAGGGAAGCATTGAGAATTATCCTACTGACATGGTCTATGGCAACTAAGGAAATCTGAATTATGCGAAGGCTTTCCCTGGAAAAGACGATCTCTACCACGAGAGTTGCGTAATCGAGATTGCATCCTTGACCAAGCTTGTTACTGCCATTGCTGCATTGCAACTTGTTGAATCGGGGCTCGTCACACTAGATGAGGATATTAGCCATGTCATTCCATCATATGCCAGACAGCCAGTCCTTGATGGATTTGACGAGGCAGGAAAGCCAATAACTCATACGAGGCGTAATCCAGTTACCCTTCGTCTATTACTAAGTCACAGCGCTGGCGCAGGATATCCTTTTTCCGACACGAGGCTAGAGGAATATAATTCACTGATGAACACTCATACAGGGAATGGCACCGTGGATGGCAATTTCGATTTCCCTCTCTCGTATGAGCCGAATGAGGGGTTTCTATATAGCACCTCGTTGGATCGAGTTGGCCAGATAGTTGAGCGAGTCTCCCATATGTCCCTTGAAGACTATTTTCGTGAGCATATCTGGCAGCCGCTTGGCATCACGAGTGCGTCCTTCTGGAGAAAGGACCAACCTCCAATGGCCGTCCGACCCGCTCCTAACGAACCCGTGATTCCAATGCCTGAGATGGAAACTTTCACTAGTGGATGGAAGGAGTGCTCTGGTGGCCAAGGCTTGATCATGAGTATGAAAGACTACATCAAAATCCTCTACTCGCTTCTCACGGACGATGAGAAGTTGTTGAAAAGGGAAACATCGGCATACATATTTAGGCCATGTCTGTCTCCAATAAGTAAAGAGGTACTTCTTAGACAAATAAAGAATCCGAATTGGCTTGTTGGCGAGTTCCCAGCTACAAACGAATACGATTGGAGCTTAGGTGGTCTGCTCATCGATGGGGATCAGCATGGGTATCGAAAGCGTAACACAGTCATATGGAGTGGGGCATCAAGCTGTTACTGGGTAAGCTGCTAATGAACATCAAGAACATGAGAACCCAAGCTCACCAGAAGGAAATCATTCATAGTTTATCGATCGGGTTGCTGGCATTTGTGGGGTGTTTGGCACCCAAGTATTACCCCCAGCAGACCCCCTGGTCCGCCCATTGATCTCGGCTTTTGAAAAAGAGGTCTATAGACAAGTTATGAACAACAATTCGACTAGTAACTGAGGCTCATACACTAAATCGAGATTGACTTCTGTCTCAAAAAGCCATACGCTAGATCATATGTAGCATCGTTGGTGTGAATTCTGCCAGCGCTAAGTAGGTGATGCTGCCGCTGCCTCGGGATTGCCCAGGTCAACGCGACCCTAATTAAAAAATCAGCGCTTGCTTCTCTGTATATCCAAGCCTTTCCAGGGCGTTAGAAGATCTCTTCGCCTGTCTGTTTCAACGCTGTCCCAACTGACCACCCTCCGTAGCAGTAGTCTTGTGCGTGACCCCTGTTTTCATCATTTGCATAAGTCAGGAGTCGCCGAATTGTTACGCTCATCCTGGACAGGATGCTCGTTGTCACAAGTTCTTCCAGCGTTCCTGCGACCGCTAGACTCATCTTGGCCATCCAGATGCTCTCTTGTATTATTGATTAATGTTCCTGCTGATGATAGGCTTCTGAAAAAGGGCTTATCGTTTTTAGCACCTTATAGCATGTCATATTACCATGAATCGCTTATGGTGCCTCTAGTTCATCCGGTATTGCGGCTTCTGGCAATTGCGTAGATGTTATCCAGTTCTCCATCATGGCCTGTCCCCCAGGCACGCCTCTTTGCGTTGTCTTGCTTGAGGTTGCCGCCGAAGAGCTCTTGCTGCTGGTAGTCTCGCGCTTCTTCACCACAAGACAAAGCACCCGACCATATATGGAGAAACCCTCATACGATATGTCCATGGCCATCTTCTTCTTGTCATCCTGCTGCTCCTCATCATCCGCGGCCCCCTCTCTTAGCCGCTTGGATGGGGGTTGTCTGCCATCGTCTGAAGAGTGTTCGTCATCTGTCACAAAAAGACCGTCACCATCGTCAGAAATGTCTCCACTCTCATGCTCACTACCATCCTGATTCGCGGAAGCCGTCTCGCGTCGTCGTCGCTTGGGTCGCCCAGTTGGTTCTACACGACCAACGGTGGGAATATCATCGAGCACAATCGGGGCGTCATCGTCACTGTCCTCCTGTCTGATTTGCACCGGTATATCCGCGTCCTCCTGTTCCTGCCCATCGATGTCTATGGGAACCTCTCGCGTAGCGCCCGTGAGCCGGCTGGAATTCGATGTGAGCTTCGTCTGTGTCGTGTCTCTGAAATGCTTGTTCTTGTACAGTAATGAATGTCGAGTACTGGTCTCTGTGAGGAATATGGAAACCTCGAAGTCATCTACAAAGTAGTCGCACACATGAGTCACGGCCATACATAAAAGGTCAGCAGCTGCACATACCGGCTACGATCACATCTTTGATTCCGCGCTTCTTAGTGCTCTTCTTCCTAGCGCGCTCCCTCTCTTCGCGTAGTTTGGGCAAGACGAGTGGTCTGACGCTCTCGATCACCTTTGGTAGCACTGGATCTCGAGGATTGAGCAGCCAAGAATGGGCAAGGCCCGGATTGTCTAGGTAAATGCGACACTCAAGCACCGAATACTTGGTGATTCTAAGGTAACGGCGTACTGGTGCCATATTGAGAGCGGCGGACTATGACATGTCGTTGCTCGAAGCAAGCAATGTGTCAAAAGGTTCGTTCAATTCGGACTTTTGAGTACTGGAGATGGTGTTGGAATGGAGGCAGCTAGGTGAATGATATCACCTAAACGTGGGGGTGTCAGCCTTGCAGCAGAGCTAGCATTAGCTTAGCTTGTAAGCTCTCTTTAGCCTGGGGTCGCATGATTTTTCGCGACGCGACCAAAAAAAAAAGGTTGACATACGGATTGTTCGACAACGCCGCGGCTTATGCCAATATGCTTGGGGGGCGATAATGTCGAAGTCATGGTCCTCGACATTGAGGCTGCCCAAATCTACATTTCCGTAAGTATAGCTGCATTGCACCCTGAAATCCAGCCTCTCCAAGTTTCTCACACTCACCCAGACCACGACCCCTGCCGGATTTTCGACAGCAGTACCTACAGAGATGCAGCGACACTTTCTACAAGTGGCAAGCTGCCAATCGACCAAGCGATGACGAGTTCACGGTGCATGATGGGCCACCATACGCGAATGGAAACTTGCACGTTGGCCATGCCCTGAACAAGATCCTCAAGGACATTATACTCCGAGTCAAGGTCCAGCAAGGTGAACATCTCGGCCCCTTTCTCAAAACTATCTGTGATGTTAATCGCATTCTTCCAGGTCGCCGAGTCAAATATGTTCCAGGATGGGATTGCCACGGTCTCCCCATCGAGCTCAAGGCTCTCGGCACATCCGGCGGAAAAGATATGACCCCGATTGAGATCCGACAGGCCGCCAGGGATCTCGCAAGCAAGACTGTGCTCGAGCAGATGAAGGAATTCCGATCTTTTGCTGTAATGGGCGACTGGGAAGGAAGATGGACGACAATGGACCGCTCGTACGAGATCAACCAGCTAAAGTTGTTTCAGAAGATGGTGCACCAAGGGTTGATATACAGGAAATTTAAGCCAGTGTACTGGTCGCCTTCTTCAGGGACAGCCCTTGCTGAAGCCGAATTGGAGTACAACGAAGAGCACGTCTCTACTGCGGCGTTCGTCAAGCTTCCTATCACGGGAGACGCAGGCAAGGAGTTGGTAGGAAGCGATTTTGATGGGCAATTATATGCCGTGATATGGACCACGACGCCATGGACCTTGCCGGCAAACAGAGCTATTGCAATCCACGACGAGCTCGATTATGTTATAGTCCGCAATGGGTCTGACGCACTCATCGTTGCGAAGACTTGTCTTGAAGCAGTCAGCAAGGCTTGTTTTGAAGGCGCCGAGCTGGAGATCATGGTGCAGCCTTTCAAGGGCAGCCTGCTTCGCAATCTCACATACAAGAACCCTTTGCAAGGCCAAATTGGGTCCCATCAACCAATAATCCATGCAGACTTCGTCTCTGCAGACTCCGGCTCCGGTCTCGTTCACTGTGCCCCCGGCCATGGTTTCGAGGATTACGAAGTCTGTATGACTTTAGGCATCCAGGTCGCAGCTCCTGTGGATAACGAAGGAAGGTTCACAAAGGAGGCTTACCCTGATGACCCGGCCCGCCTCGAAGGTGCTTCAGTTCAAGGTGAAGGTAACAAGGCAGTTCTGTCACTGTTAGGACCTCATCTACTTGGATCCCACAAGTATAAGCACAAATATCCGTATGACTGGCGGACAAAGAAGCCAATCATCGTACGTGCCACTGCTCAATGGTTTGCCGATGTGGCTACAATCAAGGACGATGCTATGAATGCCCTGAAAGATGTCAGGTTTATTCCCGACGCGGGACGGAATAGAATCGAGAGCTTCGTGAGAGGTCGTTCGGAATGGTGTATTTCGAGACAGCGTGCCTGGGGCGTTCCGATTCCTGCATTATACACCAAGGACGGAAGTGCAATTCTGACAGAAGAATCTGTTGAGCATATCATCTCCGTTATCGAAGAGAGGGGAATCGATGCGTGGTGGTCTGATGATGCAAATGATCAGGCCTGGGTTCCGCCATCGCTACGAGACCACGGAGAATACCGCCGTGGCAAAGACACGATGGATGTGTGGTTCGATAGCGGAAGCAGCTGGACCCAGAGTGATCGCCAGGCAGATGTCTATCTCGAAGGTTCAGATCAACATCGGGGTTGGTTTCAGTCAAGTCTCCTCACTCGTGTCGCTGCAGCTGGGACGACACATTCAGGGAGCCTTGTGGAACAAACAGTGGGACTTTCACCATTCAAGAATCTCATCACTCACGGTTTCACTTTAGACCAGGATGGGAAGAAGATGTCCAAATCCTTGGGAAATATTCTTGTGCCGGAACAAGTAATGGATGGCACCCTTCTACCTCCTGTTAAGGCGAAAAAGAAGGGCGGCAACGCACCACCGATCAAATATGATGCTCTCGGCCCGGATGCTCTGCGTTTGTGGGCGAGCAGCAGTGACTACACTCGAGATGTCGTCATTGGAACACCGGTGCTGAAGTCTATACACACTGCCCTCATCAAATATCGCACCATCATGAAAATGCTCCTAGGATCGATGCACGAATCTGCGCGATCCGCTCCATTGACCGCCACGGACCACATCGCCCTCATTCAGCTCCAAGACACTATGGATGAGGTCGGCAAGGCCTATGACAACTTTGAGTTTTACAAAGCATTCAGTCACCTAAACCGCTGGGTAAATAATGACCTCTCAGCCTTCTACTTGGAGACTCTCAAGGACCGTCTATACTGCGATGATGGCGGAGGCATCCTAGAGCCAATTTTCATGGGATTGACGAGGATGCTTGCTCCCATCACGCCGATGCTTGTTGAAGAGGCCTGGGATCATTGCCCCGAGTGGCTGAAAGCTGATTTGCAAGTTTGTTCTTTTTCCTGCAAGGTTTCTAAACTAATATAAAATGCAGGAACGTTTCTCATCCACTTCATCAGCTCTATGCCGATCCCATTATTGATCCCAGTCGCTTGCCTGGCGATGAAGCGAAGCTTCGACAGTCCATCCCTGTCTTGATGTCCGCCCATGCTGCCATCAAGTCAGCTTCGGAGCTTGGCCGCACAGCCAAAGTCCTCGGCTCCTCTCTCCAGTGCTCTGTCATCCTCGAGATTCCCGATGAGGGGACAGCTTCGTTGCTAAGCCAGTTGAAGGACGAACTCGAAGCCATGTTTGTGGTCTCATCTGTAGAGATCAATGCTCCGCTGCCAGAGGCGGAGTGGCAGTTCTCTGACGTCTTCGAGGTGAATGGTGTCCAGTGCAAAGGATGGGTCCTACCTCCTAAAGAAAGCAAGTGTCCAAGATGCTGGCGTTATATTGCGCCTGCAGAAGACACCTTGTGTAAAAGATGCGACGACATAGTAGCATCTATGTAAATCAGTGTATCTACTACTGTACATAAAAGAATTGATACCCCTATTCTCATACCTTGTCCTCAGATATTGCTAGAAAGTTCTTTCAAATGGTCATGTCTAACGAGTTCTGATGCTTGTTGGTTATCTGCGAAACCAGGGTCTTCCCTTTTGAACTGAGCTAGGAAGTGATGGATAGGACACTAGGGTCGTTGTCAATGATTACTAGTGTAAGAAGTAATCTGTATAATACATTCAATCTGCCAACGGTGTATGAAGGGTTTCTTGTCGACCCAGCTGTGAAGCTCTCTCCCAGCTTGCTAACCCATAGAGTATCGTCTTCAATACAAACACTCTGCTAAGCCCTTCAACAGATGATTACCACTCTGCGACCTCGCCTGGCTTAGGCTTTTGCATCCGAATGACCTTGTCGCAGTTCAGCAGACATAGCGGGTCCAAGGCTTGCTTGATCTGGCATCATTGTCAATAAAAGGACTATAAGCTCTTCTCATAGATTTTTGCACTAACCTTGCGCATGGTATCGACCGTGCTCTCGCCGAGCTCATGGGGAAGATAATCCCGCTTTACCAAACCAACTCCGTGCTCGCCCTGTGGGCCATGATTAGCATACAACACATGCAAAGGGAGAAGGGGCCATACCGTGACAGTTCCCTCCATCTCAACTGCCCTCTTGACCATTCTATGGAACACATCCTCTGCGACCTTCCTCTGAGAATCATTGGAAAGAATAATGACTAAAATCGCAATGTTAGTTAAGGCAAAGATCTAAACGACAATGACTGAACTTACTGTGAAAGTTTCCGTCTCCAACATGGCCAACGATCGTGCCGTACAAGCCAGACTTCTTTATGTCATCCTTCGTCTCCTCAATGATATCCGGCAGTCTTGACATAGGGACGGCGACATCGCCTGTCCAGACATGGTCGCCCTCCTTCTTGACAGCCATGGTGCTCCAGAGAGCCTCCTTGCGAGCGGACCACAGCTCATGCTGCTCCTCCTCGCTCTTGGCGAAGTCGAAGCCAGTGCTGCCCGCCTTCTTGGCCATCTCGCGCACCTGGGCGATCTGCTCCTTGACGCCACGGTCGGTGCCTGAGAACTTGAAGAACAGAGTTGGCACCTCCTGCCATGTGCGCGAAGTCATGCCTGCCTCGTTGATGCAGTGCATTTGCTCGTCGTCAAGAATCTCAATAGCGGCAATAGGCACGCCTTCACCAATCACACGACCCACGCAATTGGCCGCCTGTCGGATTGAGCCGAAGCTGCAAACGGCTACGCTCGTGTGCTGAGGCTTGACCGTCAACTTGAGCGTTGCCTCCGTGACAAGGCCGAGCGTGCCTTCGCTTCCAATGAACAGTTTCGTAAGATCGTATCCGGCAGAGCTCTTGCGGGGCCGTTGCCTGGTCTTGATCACAGTGCCATCTGCAAGCACGACCGTCAGACTGAGCACCCATTCCCTCATCGTGCCGTACCGCGCGGCATTGGTACCGCTGCATCCCGTGCCAATCATGCCACCGATCTGAGCGCCCGGCCCCGGGTCCGGAGGGAAGAACAGGCCGTCCTTTCCCAGCTGCTCGTTAAGCAGCTCCCAGCCGACCGCCGGCTGCACCACGACGTCCAAGTCCTCCTTGTGCACCGCCAGGATCTGGTTCATCCGCCCAAAGTCGACGCACACGCCGCCTCGCGTCGGAGTGAAGTGTCCCTCGAGACTTGTCCCGCCGCTGTAGCCAGTAACCGGGATGCGGCGTGTGTGACATATCTTCATGATCTCAGAGACCTCCTCCGTCGAGCTGGGGTACACAACGCAGAATGGCTTATGTGATGGGTCGGGACGGTGGGAGGACCACTCTGACGAAGCGTGGCTCTCAAGATTCGCCTCGACGGTGCTCACATTCTCCGTCCCCACGACCTTTGTGAAGTCCGCCCACGCAGCCTCGAGCTCTGCTCTGGTATTCTTGTGTTTCGGCGGCTTCGTGGCTGCGAGAGGGAGTGTCGAGCTTGGTTCAATGTCGCGAGGGTATTTGGTGCCGAGCCAGAAACATGTAAGTCCAGCAAAGAGAACCACTGTGAAGATTACTGTTAGCTCCAACACATTTTCCGACGCGACATGGCGTAGGCTTCTCACCAAAAGTCGTGGCAGCATTTCTGCCCCAAGCTGACTCTATCCTCTCCCTCTGGATTCTCTCGCGCTCAGCCTTCTCGCGAGCAAGGCGCATGCCGATACTCTCAAGCATCTGACCCTTGAAGTTCCGGCCCTCATTGTCGGTCGATGCGAGGCGGATCGTCTGGCTGTTCAGAGCTGCGGCGCGCCCAGGAGCTCTGGCCGCTGAAGCTCGCAAGCTTCGCAGCAGCGCTGGCGAGGGGCTTTTCCTCAGGTGAGACATGTCTGGGAGATGCTTGGCCCAAGTGTCGTTCACCCAAGGTCGATGTGCCCAGGTCTAGAGTTGGGCTTAGAAATCAATCCAAGAAGCTGTGGGGAAGAGGTTGGAGGATCGGTCGCTTTGCGACATTCGGACAGAAAAAGACGAAGCTAGGGCCCCCCGCTTTGCCGGCCGCGCGACAAGACCGAGCTTTGCGGGTCCGAAGCGCGGCCGCTCCGGATCTACGGATGGAACGCTGTCTCAGTCGCCGTGAGATATCAAATACAAGTGTCTTGTTGCCTCGGGTTATGTACGGCCTATAATTGGTTACACGGCCAAGGAGGGACATAGGCTATTAATTGCTTCAACACTGTTACAAGCGCACGTATCAAGACGTACAACAGATATCATTTAGCTCGAATTGGTCTTCTCGTACTAAGCTTATGTAACCAGTTCACAGAGCTATCACGCCGGCTTCCACCCGTGAACTAATTGCACATTAAACGTTGGTGAACCTCGCTCATGTGTCAAATACGCACTGAGCTGCGCATCAGTTTCGATTTGTAAAGTCAATTCTCCTCCTTTGCCATCCTTGAGCACACCTTCGAGCCTCAAGCACACAGCAGCAGGATATTTAGCCACAGCAACTTGTCTAAGCTCTTGGACGGAATGGGAGTTGAGCATAGAAATCCACAGGGGAGTCTCAACCGGGAACGTAGAGCTCCGATGTGGGCGGAGAAAGATAGCTACCGGGTCATTTGCTGGTTGTGACGGTGTTTGGAAAGCTGCGGATGCTTGCTGCCCTTCAAAACCTTGCAGATATGGCTGATCCACCGCTGCCAGGAGCAACTCGGAACCAAGCTGCGAGTCGATAGGCATACCTGTGTCCGGGTCGATGACATTCGCCGGAAGAAGCCGCGCGGGTTCGTGGTCGTCGTCCATGTACGCACTATCGTCGATCCCTCCAGCATCATCATAATCATCGTCGGCCTCTTGAAGGGCTCTGGCCGCTTCCTTGTTCTTCTTATTGGGATCGCGCCGTGTGATATCATCTCGCAGCCTCTTCATGATGTCCCTAGCAAGAGCGTCCAGCGCCTTCCGTTTCATCTGAGGATCTTTACCATCTAGAGTATCGGCCAGAACCCTCTGCAGTACAGGAGATTCTGCGATCCACTGCTGCTTGAGTGCCTCGAAGCGTTCTGCCCCCATTGCGGTTTTCGTGGTAAATTGGTCGCTCTTCAGAATTCTGTAGAGGATAGCCCGTACCGTCCTCGAATTCTCGGGGTTCAATCCGAGAATATTCTTCGCGTCTGCCAATAGTAGACGCCTATCTCCACCTCGCATGCGCTTTGTGACATCCGAGCAAATAACATCAAGAGCCAATTTCTTGGTCTCGATGTTGTCCTTGCTCATCCAAATGACAGATTGTAAATGAGGAGTTGTGGCAATAAGTCGTTCCTTGATTATCTCCCACTTCTCTGGGCCAGCAATGGTCTTCTTCAGGACTCCCGCAGCCTCGCATATGCGCTGACAATTCTCGCGGACTGTCTGATAGAGTTGCCGGTCCAGGCCAAGAATAGACTTGCTCTCGTCGAGTGTCGTCTCAGATGGGAAACGGGGCGGGCCTGGGGGATCAGCCGGCATGCCTGCGTACCCGCGAGTACGCCGACGCCTTTTCCTAGTGGCATACCGTTCTGCGGACTCTGCCTCCATCCGCCGTCGCCTGTCCTCTCTCCGGGCAGCCTCGACCGGGTCCAGCCCGGGAGACTCTGAAGAAGCCGGGACAGCATGCTGCACAATGCCACTTCTGAGGACCCTCGGTTTATTCGGGGTAGATGGGGCTCCGAGACGAGGATCAACAGGTGTATCCACGGAGAATTCTTGCATGTCCTCGGTCTCCTCGCCTGCGTCATTGGTAGACGTTCGCAGGAGCCAGCGGTTCTTGGTGCGCACACGGACTAGCTCGCGCTGCTTGATATCGAAGCCGTCCTCTTCGTTGAGGACGCGGAGCATTTCCGCCTGCGACAGGTTGCGCTCCCATAGCTCCTTGATGCGCGCGACCAGCTGATCATTTTTCACTGCAGGGTTGTGCTTGGTTGGGAAATCCCAGCGTCTGAACTGTGTCTGGAAGGCGCGTTTGCTTCGCGAATGCTCAATGTTAGTATAGCGCGCACTATTGGCGGCCGTTGTACGCTTGGTTTAAGAGACTACTGAACAGAACAGATGGGAACTCCGGTGGGCAACAGGTGAAAGAAAGCAGCGATCGATGTCATTCGGGGCGCCGTATAGATATCGGTAGGGCGGCTGGGTGAAAAAGCGCAGAGATGGAATAGCTCACCTGGGAGTGAAATTGTGATGAACTCGCATATAGTCAATGATCTCATCGGTGGATCTCTTTTCGTCAACATACAGCCGGCGACAGGTTTCCCTGTGCGTTTCCCAATCATATACCATTTCGGTGTTGCCCTTGGCGCTGGCGGCGATTCACAATGTTCAGCCTGAGCGAGGATTGCGCGTTGGGTTGATATGGTCCGCCGCTGGCCTGCCCAGCAAACAGCTTTTCAGTTGCAGAGAGCCGGGGTGACTTCCCGATGGAAAGGCGCCAAACGCTTCTAGACGATTTCTATGCAGCAACATAATTAGCCCTGACTCGGCCAAGCCGTCAGGACCGTGCACCCCTTGCTACCTGCCGGCACCTCCCTAGCCCTATTACGGTAAGTCGTCTGAGAACGCGCTAAAGGTCCCTAATAATAAAGAAAGAGCTGCAATGCAAACCAGCGCTTTTTGGCCTGTTTGCCACTCGATCTGTTTACTCTGTGGTGCAACCTTCCAATGTCTTGAGGCTGCTCATGCATTAGATAGTCAGCCGCAGGCGGTGAGCAAATTGATCTCGTCCTAGCTTGCCCTTTTGAGTGGTTGTTCAGCTGGCTTAGTTGAAGCACGGGGCAGAGGTATTCCATGGTGATTCGATGTAAGCCTCCTTGATGGTCAAGCTCTTGCAGCTAACCAACCCCTCTCACCTCTCTAAGAAACCGAGAGCCAAGGGAAGCCACGCCTTTTGGCTTTTTTTTTTTTTTTTTTTCCTGCACTGGGGGCAATTGAAGGCAGGGCAGGCAGGCACACCGAACAGAATACGGGTCAACGAAAAAAGCAATTTAGCTTAACATTGCAAGGTAACAAATAGTATCGATGTATGTTAAACTTCATTGCCTATCTTCAGCACTTGCCCCCGTTGTCAATTGTGTGGCTTGCTTGCCATGACGATCCCAGCCCAAAGTATGAGATGACGAGAAGGCCCTGCCACCCAGAGATTTGCTCGCGAAACTTTTCTATTCAAGGAATACCTCCCGGATTTCGACTTGCACAACTCCGAGGACGGCCCTTGCAAGCATGACTCGAAGGTCTCTGTGAATAGACGGCCGTTTTCCTCTGGTAATTTCAGCTCGAATCAGCATTCATGATTGGTTAAATCAACCTTCTCAGACTCGGATGTCCCGTCGCCTCATCTTGTAAGCCACTTCCTGTTTCCGTTGTCCTCGCCGCCTACGATGTCTTGCAAGTGACATGTTCAAACGCAATAGCTTCTCAAATCTACCATAGTTTCTTCATGGTTTTGGACAGTATATAGAGGCCCGGCCCAAAGCCTCGGCAAATGCGGTTCAATCCTAGGACATCATTAAATCAGTTGCACAATATAGAGAGCACCATCATTCAATCCGGTTCAACTCTTCATAATGATCAACATGCACGAGATGTGAGCTGCTACTTTTCTTGCTCTTTGGAATATAGGAATGTTTGCTGAATATACTTGTTTAGTTGCGACATTACTATTACCATGAGTGTCAAGGAGCATCTTCCACAACTGGAGCCTGTGGTGAATCCTGATGCTACATTCCACTGCACCAAGCAAGCGAACACCTCAGCTGCCGTCGTCTCTCTACGTGTTGGCCACGGAAATGTCATCCATCGCTGGAAAAAGGGTTCGATTCTCACTGCCTATGTGAACGCATGTAGCTTCCCGAGCGAGCATCACCTTTTGAAGGCTATCGAAGCCCTCAAACTGGGTATGGAAGCTTGGAATACGCTGAACCTCGGAGTTTCCTTCAAAATCGTGGAAGATATCAATTCTGCGGTCTTTCAGCTCGTCTACAAGTATGATACAGCCCGTGGTGAGGGCAAAACGTACGCGATGTCTTTTCTTCCTGGTTTTTCGTCCAAGAACCGTACGCTCGT